TAAATATCAAAATGGTTTACAAATTATGTAAGTACACCTAGTAGGCTACACTTCATTAGTTCCAGGTTTACAGTTGTGATATCGTGAGATGTTATATTGTGACTTTATTTTAGGCCTGTGTAAGGCGGTAAATAATTCTTTATGTTATCGTCATTAAGTGGGTAATGAGTCACAAAACAAATAATCAAAACATTTCAGAGTTGGGGGCGCCAAAAGTGTCTTTGCCCCCGGGTGCTAAACCCTTGTTACGCCACTGATCATTTCATATCTGTTCCTTATATGTTTCGATATTTCTTGATCAATCAGCACCAAACTTAACACAGTGATACAGGATGACATGATGGGCGTCATGAAGGGGTTGGACCCCCCATCTTATATATAAATAAACGTCAATATGTGTGTCTATCTGTTCCTTATACGTTTCCACACTTCTTTATCAATCAGCACCAAACTTGACACAGTGATCGTATTAATAGAATTCTTGAAAACAGTATGTTTTTATTTTCAGTATTGGTATCTTTATGTATTTTTATCGCACTTTTAATGTTTACTACTTTAAAAAAAAATAGAAGCACAATTTCCTATCCTTTGTTACAAACGAGTTTTTATTTCACTCGTCCTTTAGACTTTATCATAAGTTCTATTTTCAAAGTTTTTAATAAGTATACTTTCCTGAAAAAACAATAGAAACAAATAAAACTCTAAACTTTTAATTTACAATCATAAAAATAATAAACGTATTTTAAATTTAAACCATTAGCAATAGTTACATTTTTGATATAATTGTTACATCAGTTATTTTATTTTATTTATGTAATGAAATTATCAGTTCACTAAGATTTAAAGCATAAAACAGTACAGTATATAGTTTTCAATGTGTAGTACAAGAGGGTTTAAGCATGATTTTTATAAAATTCAGTTGAATAGGATTTAGAAACTAGGTATTCACGATGTAGGGTTCTTGTAAAAATGTATACATATATGTGTATTTATTGAAGTTAAAAGAAATCATAGTCATTTCGAAAATATGCTCTTTTTCATGCTAAGGTAGTGATGTAGAAAAAAAGTGTTGACTTGAGCTGATAATTTCAGATAAAATAAAAATCACACAGGACAATTAGTAATATTCTGCTTGTTCTTAACCTAATGCTTAATTCAAATCAATACTTAGAAATGAAGAACATGAAAGGTAAAGAATAGTATTAGAACTGATGAGATTCTTATTACTTCATTAACATGGACCACAGCAGTTTTGTTTGTTAGACTTGACCACACACTAACCTAGATTAAAGAAAAACTTTGTTTATTGCATGAAGCACTTGCATTGTTGTTAATAGGAGTTACTTCTTTCACATTGTTATGATGTACTTTCTGATGATTTACTGTTTCCACTTAGAATTGGACTGATTTAAATTATTTCTTACATAGGATGTCTAAAGATGAAATTAAATAATTTGTATGAAATCAATAAAAATCTAAATCTATATAAAAAATAATTAATATAGACAATATGCATAACATAATTTATTTTACATGCATAGCTGTTACAAATGACCAAACTATGGCTAGAAATATATAATAGTGGATCAAACTTATTGAAGTACACACATGTATACATTTCTTTAATTATTGTAAATCCATTCTTTATAACTGGAAAATGTACATCATGAAACAGGAAATTTATAAGTTAAATAAGGCACAACACCAAAAGTTCATTTATGTCTTCTATTGTCGCATGAATGTTTTCTACAAAATTTTTTAATTTATTAAATGAAGAAAAATAGATTAATTAAAAAACTGCTAATCAATACAGAATGGTTTACCACATATGCTCAGAGACTTTTCAATAAAAGTACAGCAATAGAGATGAATGAAAAATGAAGACTTCTTCCATGCATACATTATCATCCAGTAAATGATATACTACAGCGGATAAGTAGTGAAAAAATGTACTACACTAAATTTCATGCATATATGAGCAATTATTTATATAAGGCCTTGAGCACATTCCTACAACCATTATGTGACTTTCTGCATCATCTCTCATTCACAGACTGTCATACAATGGTAGCTGATAAACATTTGAATGAGTGCAAGCAATCTTTTTTTTATATATAAATTATGACTTATAGTGCTAACTTGTAAAAAAATATTTAAATAAAATATCTACTTCTGAACTATTCATAGCTCAAAAAAGTAATTTTGTGATATTTATTAAATGTTTTTTTCCATATTTATGGATATAATATTAAAATTATAAATGTTGGTTATTCATTTGTTACAGTGCAAAACAACACAATGGGTAACCTGCACTCTGCCCAACATGGGGAATTGAACCCTGGATTTTTGTGTTGCAAGTTTGTAAACTTACCACTGACCCACTGGGGACATAGGTTATTAACTGACTGACGAACGATGTTAAATAATGAACTTGAACACAGACTTATAAACATATTCATTACAGCTGTAATGCAAGTTTTAATTCAGAAGCTTACTTTAAACATTTTTTCATGAATGTATATAAAAGTTGGGAATACTTAAAGCTATGGCATTAGCAATTCTCAAATAATTAATGTATTAACATCTTGGTTATCAATTTATCAAATTACTCAGAAACAGCCTATCATACTTGTCTTGTTTTTTATCTCAGCATCCAAGTTTATACTATAAGAATATCTGACTTACAGGAAAAACACTAAACTCAAAAATACTAAGATCATAATCAATAAACTCATAAAAATAGTAAAATTTAATTTATAAATAACAATTTTATGAAACAGTTTGTTAAGAAAGAACTGGCAAATATGCAAGCTAATCTTATTTTACCCAGAGCAGGTCAGGCAACAACATATCAATGGCAGAAGATTACATTAATTATTCTCAGAACTTACGAATGGAAGTAAAATATTTGGCATGATGAATTCATTCAATGTTAGTCTAATTCAGCTATATATCATATATTTTCTGTTTTAAGTATTTTTAACATTGTTTTAATAGTATATCTGAATCACAAAGATTAAAGTATATTAAGATGTTGTAGATTTATTAAATACTAGAAAAAAATTGTTTAATATGCCAAATTTTTATACATTTACACAGAAATTTTCTCATACTTACACATATTATTAATATAATAAAATTTTAAATTCATAAGCTATTACAAAATCAGCCTAAGTAGTGTCTATACTAGAAATAAAATCATATTAATTTTTTTATGTAACAATTTCATTATACTTTCAACTCTAAAAATTGGGTTTCAATACCAATAGTGGACGCAGTACAATTAGCCCATTGTCTAGCTTTCTGCTTAACAACAAACAAAGCTTTCAACTCAATGTTTTAAAAATATTATAGAGAATATTTTCGACCGAGGAATAACCTAAAAAAAAAAAAAAATTGGAACTATGGATTTTTTTCTATTGAAAATTATAAATAAAGAAAATACAAATTAGAGTATATTTTTCAAACATGAAATTTCATAACCTTAATGTAACTCCATTACTGATGCATTGGCAAAATTGGGCTTAGCATTGTCTTCCAGTTTCATATATCAAGGTTAATATTTCAATCACTTGCATTTTCAGCTCACAATAATAGCTTCATTGTTTAACTAATTTACCCCTCAAATAATTAAATAAATAGATAAACACTGTTAGTCAAAAATCTAACTCATACTGAAAATGTTATAACTTAAATATTTACAGGTAATTATAAACTGGAGTCAGACAAACAAACTGCTAGTTACATTTTCAGAAAATAATTCTTACTAGTCAAAGTTACCATTCAATCAATACCTATATAAATAACTACATAAAAGTTAAATAGTCACATGGTAGTACTTGAGAGTTTATAAAGTTTCAATCATGGAATGTTACTTCAAGTATGTACAGTGATTTGCCTGAGTGAAGAGAATAAGTCCTATATTCCAGACTCTGCAATTCCTTCATCATCTGCAAGGAAATAAATAATATGTAAACAGAGTGCAGCTAATACTGATATGTAAACAAAATATTAAACAAAAGCCCTACCCCATAAAACATGTTGTAAAATAATCATAATTTCTTGTTTAAATAATGTTAGAAATATAATATTTAATTCAAAATTAATATCATACACAAAAACATAAAAACAGAATGGTGTGATAATGCTAAATGTTGATAGCTCCTACAAATCTCAGTAGCATGAACATTCTGAAATAGTCTTGAGACATTGTTTTGGTATTTTAATGAATTAGGAATAATAAAATGTTTGAAATGCTTATATCTACACATTGTAATATCTATTTAATATCAAGAACTAACTTTTTTTTACACTGGAATACAGAATACTTGTTTTACTTCTCACAAAGAAAAAGATCAGATTAATCACATCGCTATTGAAGAAACATTTGTCAATGATCTACTATATGATAGAATGATGAGATGTATTTAGTACTCGTTTTAAACATACAACTAATATGTACATACGATGAAAAATGTGTGGATTTAGATGATGGTTTACTATTTTTTTTCCATTTTAAAAATCATTAAGAAATACACTTGTAAGGAGTTTACTGTAAATTTCTTGTAATATAACATAGCAAGCCACTAATAATCCAGTTTTTCATCTATTTTGCTGATGAGTCACAGACAAAAAAATAGTAGATTGAGCATGATAGGAACACAGGGTAATCATACTGGTATATAGGTATTTATGATCAAATTGTATTCCAATTATTTTCTTAGTTATACATAGTAGCCTATGTGACCATCTACATCTAATTGATAATTAGTTACTATTTCATTATTAGTATTGGATACTAATTAGTAATTATAATAATAATAGTAACTAATAAGTAATTAGAAAAAGAAATTTCAAATGAAATGACTTTATATTCATAGGGATAACATGTTATAATAGACAAAAGTAAAACAGGGTAAAAATAAAATTTAAAAATTACTGAAAAATAGATTATAAGAATGGAGCAAACTTTAAGACTTTGTGCCAAGAAAATGGATTACATGCATCTCAACAAACTTTAAGACTTTGTGCCAAGAAAATGGATTACATGCATCTCAACAAACTTTAAGACTTTGTGCCAAGAAAATGGATTATATGCATCTCAACAAACTTTACACTTTGTGCCAAGAAAATGGATTACATGAATCTAAATAAAAAATCAAATAAATAAACTGAAGCCAACAAGGTTAGTAAAAATAATAAAGTGTTAATGGAAGGAAGAACCAAAAAATGTTCACCAAGATAAGAAAACAGAATAAAGACTTTTACCCAAAACACCTGTAACATCACCCACAAAATGGAGAAATGAATAAAGATGAAGGAATCAGGAACAGCAGGATGTTATACAAAATAGTTGTTGTTGTTGTTGGCTGAAAAAAAGCAAGCTAAGATTAATGTTTTCAAAACAACTGTATTGTTTAATTCATAGGTTTTACTGTTCTTTTTACTTATATATTTGTATAATATTTATATTGTTAACATAACATATGTCACAAACCTAATTTGATTAACATTATTACTGCTGCTGTTACTGTATCTACATGAATATTGTAAACAATTACTATGATCACTGATAACTATTAACTCTTTCACTGCCATGTTTATAGATAAACAACTCACTCAATCTGAGGTTTATTTTCAGATACAGAATAAAAAACAAAAAGACCCTTGTTATAATGTTTCATTACCTATCTGAAACTTGAAACTGGTACCTCTGGGAAGTTTGAATGAGAATACACTTTCTTCACAGTGGTAAAAAAATTCCAAATTCCCATGGTAGTGTTTTACATGAAAACATATATGTGCTCACAACAATGAAAGTTAATAAAAATTGTAATATGTGATAGAATTTATTGAATTAATATAAATTTTATAGATACAAATGGATTAGATACTGCAGAATATGACAAGATGCTATAATTACATTTAAAAATAGTAGAATATAACAAGTAACAAATGAAAATTACATATTCTTATCACAACAGAAAAATGTAAGAAATATTCAAATTATTCAGTTGTTTAGCTGCATACTATTAGAAGAGAGAAAATGGAAAATAAATTAAACTGAGCTATTTATTTTACCTTCAAACCCCTGATTATCATGAACTTCTGGTCTGTTAGGTGCTACAATCATATCTTCTTTTCCTTCTAATACACAGAGTAGACACTGGTGGACACAAATGTACTGTTGCTGTAGAGAATAGTCATTTGTTAGTATAAAAGAGAATAAGATAACACAAGCCAAACTTTCATAAGAACATGAACTTAAATTATTAATCACAAATATACATTTAAATAGAAGTATTTTGATCTTTATGTTAAAGCAAATGGATTTAAGCTCACTATATTTGTATGATGTATTTCTCTTTCACTCATAGACATGGCTTAGGTTCATGAAAAATGAAAACAGACTTATACAAAAAAGACACAAATACACATTGCCTCTGATGCAATATGTGTGTGGTTTTTCTAATAATTTTCTCTTGTGTACTTTTAGAAAGGTAAAATATCAGTTTTTTTGCATTAAGTTTGAAAACTTTGTGTGTATTATATACATAAATAAAATAAACATATTGACATTAAACAAAAACACATTAAAAGTTCCTAGCATAAACTAAATATAAAAGTAAATCATTTTAACCTTAGCTTAGATTTAAAATTAGACCAAAGAAGGAACTGTGCTTAGTATGTACTTTTCATTGAATTACTGCAACTTTCAGTCATTTCCATCACAAATATAGGTATGCTTTAAATGAAATATATCATTCAAATTTGATCTATGGTCTAAAATGTTTTCATGAATCCTATATTTTATACATATGTGCTCTACAACTGAATGAATGATCATATGTAGAGGAAAGAAACCGTAGATAACTCAATATGTATTTTGGAATAAAGTACATTACAAACTTTAGTCACTGGAGTGTATGAGAAGAAGTAAAATTATTTTATGATAAAGATTTGAGTAAAAATTTAATTTTTACATAATAGCCAAGTTGTAATGATCATAACTTATACAAGGTGGAGCAATAGTGACTATAGGGTCATTTCATTCAGAACATAGTTTAATTTCTAATGCCTTACTCTGAAACAAACAATAATTAAACTGGTTTCAATTATCTTCATATTTTCTTTAGTGCCAACCATATAAAATTAACTGTACAGTAACTTTTGCCCCTCCTTGTAGTGCACACTTTATACATGTTAACTGACTTCAAAATGTATCCTACATTTACAAACATCTCACTAAATAATATCAGTATCACAAGAGCAGAATACATTTTATATAAACTGCAAATTCTGCAACGATTTGAATAGATCAAACATTTTTCATTAAAAACCTCTGTTAATAGGTAAGCAGCAAATGACATTGCAACTGTAAGTACAAAAATAGGGATTTTTGTTACCTCATTTTGAACCATCCAAACCCTCTCTTTCCTCATTTCATAGACTAGACCAAAGATATCCACAGAGTCACACTTCTTAATACACTGCAGGATCTGGTCTAGAGCAATGAAGGTCCCTGATCTCCCAACACCAGCACTAAAAACAAAAATATCTTATTTTCAGATGTTTTGGAACTGTATAAAAAGAAAAATTATAAAACTAAAAGAAAAAGTGATTCTCAGTCTAATGTATAACATGTGATTCATTCTGTACAAAAAAATAAATAACAGGTTTTAATCTATTTTAAGATCACAAAGCTGAGTTAATTTTTTTTTTTATCTTGTCACTGAAACTCAGTTTTAAACAGAACTTGTATGATCAGAAAGTGCATGCATGGCATACTTTGGTTTTTGATACTATATTTCTTCAAGTTGTGAACTAAGGAAGTTTTAAAAGTAAGTACACTTAATGTTTATGGTACTAGTGTAACTCTGAAATGATTAAATACAATAATAACAACATATTTGTATCAATTCTTACCTACAATGCACAATCACTGGTCTGTTATCTGGAAATTGATGTTCTCGGAAGGCTCGAACAAATTTTATAAGTGTTTGTGGAGGGTCTGGAACACCAAAATCTGGCCAGGTTGTGAAATGAAAATGCCGTACTGTGCGAGACTGGTCACCCTGGTTTTAACAGATATTTTACATTTTAGCTTAGTTATGAAATGTTTATGCATTTTCTTTGTGTTAACACTATAATGCAGAAGGCTAGTGTACAACATAAATATTTACATATATATATAAATTATGGTGTGAATGTATACCTGTTTATAATATGCAGCAAAACTTGACTTATCAATTAAACAAAGACTGTAAATTTTAATTGCAACATATTTTACTAAAGAAAAATGAATAAATAATGTAATGATAAAGCACTTTATAGGCACTAATATACTAAATGCATCATGTGTGTGTGTGTGTGTGTATAAGAGAGGTGTTTTTTTCAGATAACATTATTAGTTATTTATTTGGAAATACAGTACTTGCTAGCTTAGTCAAAATTAAAGCTAGACTAGTACTAGTGAAGCAATCAAATACTATATGTATGTATTTCTAAAGAACTAATGTTTTAATTAAACATTTCAGTCAACTAAACCAATGTGCTTGACATTGAGTTAATGGCTTTATTCATGTAACCAAAATAAAGTGTTAAAGTTTGCAAATATAAACAACATATCAAAAACAGATGATTCAATATTTATACTTTTTTCAACTTATACCAATTATTAGAAAAAGAAAAGAGATAACAGACTCATCTTAAAGAACAATCAATAAATGTTTTCCTGAAACATTCAGCAAATGGTTGAATACTTGTAAAAATACCATTCATATGTTGTATTGGAAAATTGCAATGATAATTCATACTTTGGTAAAGTCTTAAAATTAGGAAAGAAGACATATAAAACCCATTTAAATAATTGAATATACTTAAGTTCCATTAATGTTTTGTTTTCTAATAAAACCTTTCTAAACACAAATTTCAGTTTGCTAATAAAAATCCTGGTGAAAATTATAATTTTTGAAATGATAAAATTTATTTAATTTCTCTACGATGATATTATATAAATTTACAATAAAAATTGTGATTATAATAATTACCCTGGAGACCTGGAACTCTGATACTGTCCAATCAGGATACTGAGATTCATTCAATATGGTAACCTGAATATCTCCATAATATACAGGTTGCATGTCAAAGGGCCAATAGTGATCACACTTTTCACGTCCTTTCTCAATACAACGAGTTAGCATAACGATACTATTGGAGTTTTGTTCCCAGACCATTCTCCAGAAATCATCCCTAGTACTATGAAGTGGTCCTTGTGTTACTATAAACTCTCTAGGAGAATTGTACCCCTGGATAAAGTACCAAAACGTTTGCAGAAATGACATACTTCATAAATTTGTTTTTATATAACATATGTATATACATCTTTGATATCTGAACTATTCTGCATGACTTTGTTTATTTGATAGTTTATCTTAAAGGATTTTATATGGTGTTTTTCTAGAAATTTCCTCTATGGCTACAGAGAGCAACAAAAAATTAAAGTTCACCACCAAAAGAGCATTCTTTGGTTAACTCCACAGGGCATAAACTTATATGTAGTGTGAATAGATAAAATATATACAAATACGTGTGTGTGTGTGTATATATATATATATATATGTTACAGATATGAATAAATACATAAATGTACATGCCCTCACTTGCAAATTCAATATAAAAAGATTGAAACTATCCAATAAGCCAGAACTTACAGGAACATAGTTAGCATTGATATAATCCGATCCTTCCTCATCATCTGTCGGAAGTAGTTTTACGCGAGAGTGATCATAAGGTAAAATATTGGTGAATCGATTCTTCAGTCTGTTAACTGGAATGTCTGCAGCAGTACATGGTTTTTCACGTCCTACGTGTTTCAGAAGTTCAAACTCTTCAGAAAACCGAAAATCAGAGTCTGCTGACATGATCCTACAATAGTCTGCAAAATCTCTCAACTTGATGGGCCGACTGTAAAAATGTTTAACAAGGGTGTCTGTTCATTGTGGTTTAATATAACATGCAACTGCTTCATAAGTCTTCTACTAAAGATGCACTAATAAATCTTATTTCACAGGATAAGAACTGACCACGTTCAAAATTAATCTAAATATCATCATTATTTCAGAATTACACACAAATTTAACAAAAATGGAAACTTTTCACAACTTTAGGGAATCTCTTTGAATATAAAGCCAAAAAAAAAAGCATAAAAATTAAGGGACTTACTTACTTTCTTGACTTTTAAATAGTTACTAAATTTATAAATTTAGTAAAATAAGTGTTTGAAACGTTTGATATTCATTCAGCTAAATTTGAGCAGTGTGATAAAAGTAACAGTAAATAAATACTTTAATAAAATACTCAGTTAAATACTGATGCCAGCTCTGTGTTAATGCTTTAATTTAGATGTTAGCAAGAAGCCACATCAAATTAAGATCAAGTATGTTTCACAATACCTAGAATATTCTAGATGATGCCACAAAAATTTAGGCAACTTTGATAAATATTTAGAAATGAGACATCAAATACGAATACATATGAACCAAACAATTATCTAATTGTCAATGTTTATATTTTCAGCAAGCAGTTAATCAGTCATTCAGCGAATTATTTAGTTTCAGTGGAGTATTTGGATCAGTGTTAGTTATTACATATATTCAGTTACTCAGTTGAATAGCCATGAAATTACACAAGTAAGTTTACTTTAAGTTAGTCATAGTACCATTAACAAGATGTTTCCATTTGAACATCATTTTAAACTTTGGCCTTGAAGTTACAACTGTGTACAAGCTTGTAGAAACATTAAAGACAAAATAAAGTAAAATGTTATCGTTAAGTAGACTGGAATTGGCCTTATTTTCACCTAATAATTTAAAAGAACCCACCAGATAAAAGAACAATGATACAACATAATGATATATTATGACAATAAGCTTAAGTAAACAAAATTGTACAAAATCTCATATTAACAATAAGCTTTATTTCAACATAATTACTGAATGATCTTCTAATACAAATAAGAATGAAATCATATCAAACATATATAACCACAGATCTACCTGAAAAGTTGATAGAATAAATCTAAAACACTAAGTTTTATAGTTTATTCAATATCTAACTTAATTTTTCACTGATGTACAATGAAGAATTTAAACTTTATATATATGTATGCAAAAATAATTATTTAGTATTAAATGTATTTATTTAATGTAGTTAGTTATGTTATATCAAAAGAATCATTCTTACATGTTTAGTACAACAAATAAACTCACCTTGTTATGATTTCACCTTCAGGAACTGAAAGGGTATCACCTTTTCCATAAATGTCTGCATTTTTTTTAATGAAAGGTTTAAGTCGATGACGACATAAAACAATTACAATAACAGCTCCAGCAACCAGAAGAAAGAGAGGAACCAGAATTCCAACAATAAGAACAGTATTATCTGGATCTGTTACCAAAATTTATGATATTCATAGTAAATAGTTTGAAAATTATAAACTTACAAATATATGTATATTATGTGCATCTTGAAAGAGAGAGAGAAAAAAAATTATATTAAAACACATACAATGAATTCTTGTTTAGAGTGTCAGAGTCAATTATGCCAAAAACTTCCTACAATACACAAATTGAAGAAAACAATGTTGGCAGTTTTCAATACATTAGGAAATAATGTGAATGTTATTATTGAAAGTATAAAGAGCTATGCAACTGTTTAGTGATGAAAAAAAACTTTGGATACAAAGCACATTACTCTGATGTTGCTACAATTAATGTAGAACAAATTTTACAAAACAATCATTATCCAACATTAATTTTTCACAGATAAGCATTAAAGAATTTTAATCTTGTTATACAATATCTTCATAAAATGATAATGTAGTATTATATGTTGCCCAGGTAAAGACCTTTTAAAAACATCACTGCTCCGAAAACAACAACAAAAATCAAGTTAAGATTTTAACCCAAATGTTTGATTCGTTGTTTCTCATACGTGTTTATCTTAATACCAGATATACTAAAGTATAGAAAGAAACTGAGTCACCATCTTTTAACACATCCTGAAAGCAATATTATTACACTTTTCTCATTTCAGTGCATGTTCAGACTTTTGTATAGGTTTTTAACTTCAACTGATTAGAAGCTTAGAACATGTATAAACTAAATGCCAGTTATGATTTAACAGGTTCTATTGTGTTAGCAACAATTTCTTTTTTTTTAAATGACAAAGAGTATATCTGGTTATATTAAAAACTAGTTATATTAATAATTGAAATGAATTACAGGCTAATCTACTAAACCAAATTATTTTTACACAGAGGATCTTTTTCAGATGGAATGACTATGTGCAATACATTAAGATATTTACTTACTAAGAACTAATAATATTACTTTTCAAAGCAGTGGAATGTCAGGCAGGTCACTTATTTCATCTCTTACAAAATGTTGAAAGATGAATTATTAGGTTTGTAATTTCAGTAATGGTATGCAAGTTTATATACAGAAAACTTTAGAATAAAACAGTTTCATCTTTGCAATTAGTCTGTAAAATTCTTTAGAAGTGGACATCATTAACAATGCAATATCACTAATTCTACCTGTTTGTTAATTACAAGATTTTTCTTTATTCACACCTGTTTGAACAGCAGGAGAGTACACAGTGTCTGTAAACTTCCTAGGTGTTGTATAGGCTCGGAGTTTAATTCTATATGTAGCTCCTGCTTTCAAAGGACCATTACAGTATTCTGTTACTCCTGAACAATCCATGTTGCCTATGATGAAGTTTTCTTCTGCACTGTTATTGAACGGATGATATGGTTTTGTCACCTACATTTGTAAAGAAGTTGAATTAATAATTAATACAAGTAGCAAGATCAATGCTTAAAAGAAAACAATCAAAATGTGTATGACAACAATTTATCAGTAGTCAAAATTTTACTCTTAGAAATTATAAAATTTCAGGTAACCACACCCGGTAATATAATAAGTTACAAGTCATATTTTTATTAAATATTTTGATGTTTTCAATTGTTTTCATAATGATATATGTCATTACATAATTTCTATATGAAACACACAAAATAAAAAGTACTAGAGTGACCTAAATAAGAAGACTTAGCATTAGTGCATTGCCAAATAACAGTGAAAAATACAAAATTCCCTCAGATTATGAAAGGCATGTTCATCTTGCAAGTCTTTTCCAAATATTACTTCTTTGAGAAGAAATTTGTAAACGTTTCTCTAGACACTTTCAGGTATCTTTCTAACTGCAAGGCAACTGTTGCTGTGGTTCCAGCATATTGAATTTGGCACCAAAATTATTCCCAATGTTGCATCTCTCCTAATGGTATATCATTTTATAAATCTAATGTTTTATAAGTAAACATTTATATGTATAAACTTTTTAAACCTGATAAGGAGGCCAAGAAGAATAAGTCTGAATATCTGCCCATGATGGAAGCTTCCAACTGCTGGAATCCTTTCCAGTGTCTTCAGCAACAATCAATGTGTAGGCTTTGATGGGACCATGGTTGTTAGAGAAAAAATTCTTATGGAATTTGACGTCTATTGTTGTGGATGTTTGACCAATAACAATAGGATAAATGCTACGGGATGGTGAAGGAGGAGCTGGAAAACATAAAGTTTATAAAAGATTTCACTATGAAAACCCACAACTATTCAGCATAAGAGACTGCAAAATTTTATTTTATACATTGTTACTGTTCAGAAATATCAAAAATTATAATCTTGAGAAAGTATTACCATCATGTATTACCCTTATACTAACAAATAATTATTAATTAATAAAGGTTACTAAAATGTAACCTCAGATGGCATCAATATAAAAAGTGCCAGCATTAATGATAATTATTAGCAAAGTAAATAAATTTAGCCTGTTTTTCATCAAATTATCTATTTATCTATTTTGCAAATCTTGTATGAACTGGGAGGTTTTTTTAATTTGTCTTTTTGCAGTATTGTTGCGTCAGCGAGGTCACATGACTAGTGTCATGCTACGTTTCTAGAACTATCCCGTACCTTGGTGAATGCCCTAGCATTTACTAGATATAGGGTAGTCTGGTATATAAAAGAGGGTGACAACGTGATGGGACAATAATAATGTGTGTGAAGACAGTGAGTAATTGATCTGCAGTCAGAGAGTGTTATTGAGCACGTTCGTTCTTATAGCGTTAGTTTTAGCGTGATTGTTGAAATTAAGTGTATCGTAAAGTTATATTCGGAAAGAATAAACCAGTTTTATTAAGTAAGGACTTGTGTCGCTAAAGTTTCGTCGGAACAAA